ATATTTGACCCTGTGTGTATTTGTAGTACAATCATTCCACAGTGGAAAAAGAACAGTTCACAGAAATGATCAAATTCTCCAAATTACCATCACATTTATACCCATGAAACCTCTGACCACAACTGTAGATTTAAAAGCATAAACTAGGACACGTTTTGGGATTTGCCTTCATCCCACAGTTGGCAGTAGAGTGTGAACAGATATAAAAGGACACGACAGGACACGACAAAGTCTTTTAGCCAGATTTAAACAGAGTTCAGTTTCTTGCATTTTAGACAGCTGTGCCAGCAGGAGGCCTTGGCATCCATTGTGTTTTAATGGTCGGGCACATTAAGCCAGCCAAATCTTGGGTCACTATAAATATTAGCACGATTAACTCATAATATCATTTTTCTTTTGATGTGTCAGTTTGTTTAAAGCCCCGAGTAATCCTTTTACTCATGGCTCGGGCTCTACGTATTTTAGGATGCTGCATGTCATGTCCTTAGCCAGTTCCAACAAACTAAACATCGAGTTTTGCCTCGGAGCTTAGCTCCACTGATAAGTCACTTGTAAAATGTCAGCTCTTGCATGAATGACCTTCCAGTGAAGTTGAATTTTTATCATTAAATATAGCTGTTCCAGTTTATCTGCTCGTACAGTATTTTTGGAGATTTGTGAAGTAGCAGCTTTTTTCCTATTTCATTTAGGTTTAATATTTCTGTAACTACACATATCCTGTGGGTTTAATTCCTTTCCATGCATTTTTCTTGAAAAAGCTCTCTTTTTTTACTACGCTGATTTTATGCTTGGAATAAATATGAAACAGCTGATTCTGATGCCATAACAGATTGACAACCTCTGCCGCCACGTGCCTCTATCATGTGCTTACAGCTGTATGAGAACTTTGTGGAGGAGGTGGATGCTGTTGACAACGGCATCTCACAGTGTGATGGGGAGGCCCGGTACAGCATCTCCACCACGCTGAGCGCACGTGTCTCACACCTGAATCCACGCTGGAACAGCACAGATCAGGATACTGAGGTGAGTCCAT